CCGAAAAACGGAAAGAACTTTTGCACCGGACTAATATATTAACATCTTAAAAATATAATGTGAATATGTAATGTCAGATCGAGAAGTATGTACTCCACCTACGGAAGATGCTACTGGAAGGCGAAGGTGAAGCAGTCGTAGAGCTTGGCGTTCCCATAGAACAGGGTGGAAAAGGTGAGCCATATCTCTGCAAGTACGTTGGTTTCCTTGACGAGCCTATTTTAGCGTCTGGGATTCCATTGAAGGACATGGAGACCGCTGTTGCCAGTCATGTCAAGGCTCTCGAAAGTATTCCTGCCGTAGGTGGGTTCCGTCAAATATCTTTTTCGAGCTTACTTTTGATCACTTTTTATCTTGTGATTGAACTGTTTATGGCTTTTTAAGGTACAAAAATAGAGACAAGAACAACAGGTGACAAGTGTACGGAGGTTTGGATAGTTCGCGATCCCCCAATGAATGAAGATTTCATAGAGGTATGGGCAGATTTCCACTCAAGACTCCTTTTTTGGAAAGTTTGTTTTAGGTTCGAGTAGCAGTTGTGGGCAACGTAGATGCAGGTAAATCCACCTTGCTTGGAGTACTGACTCACAGTGTTCTCGATGATGGTAGAGGTTTGGCTAGGACGAAATTGTTCAGGTTTGTAATTTTTACTCTCACCATAAAGCGGGTGTCGTACGCTTGTCTGTTTAGGCACAAGCACGAATTCGAGTCTGGCCGAACATCATCCGTTGGTAACGATATTCTTGGCTTTGATGTACACGGAAATGTAGTAAACAAGCCGGATAAACATAATAACAACCTTGATTGGGTGCAGATTAGCAGAGACTGTAGTAAGGTAGTATGATTATACCATTTTTGCTTTTTCCATATATATTTTTGTATATGATTTTTTAATTTTTTTCAATGATTTTCCAGCTAATTACCTTCATCGACTTGGCTGGGCACGAAAAATACCTCAAAACCACGATATTTGGAATGACTGGGCATATGCCTGATTACACCATGCTCATGGTTTGTCGCATAATCCCTACCTGACATGACATGATTAATTTTTTCATTTTTTAGGTCGGTGCGAATATGGGCATAATCGGTACCACGAAAGAACATCTGTCATTGGCCCTCTCTCTATCTGTTCCGGTATTCATTGTGGTGAGTATTTTCACATAACCGTTTAGTTTTCGTGTTGATTTGGCACATTGGGTTGTTATTTTCGGTCATTTTTCATGTGGATGTCTATTCTTTTTCTATTATTCATATGGAATGATGTCGTGACCCCATTTCCGTCCCTTTTTTTCGTGTCCTCTTCTGTTTTCCTTTCTATCATGTTTTTGGAAGATGATACGTATTGGAAGACTTTGTCCTCACTTGAGACTCATTTCACTAATCGCTTCATAAAAGTCCTCTACAGTTTATACTGCATTTTGATTCCAAAGTTTTCTCGGATTTGCCACGTTTTTAATTCTTCGTAGTGGATGGGTTTTTGTTCATACAGTTTATATATGTTTGGTCCCTCTACATTATTTTGCCAAATTTTTCTATGAAACTTACGCTAGTTTTCTTATGGCTACTTCCATCATGTAAGTTTCACGCATACTGTTCCAAAAGACTATGGCTTGCTTTTGCCAGTTTTTGTTTTCTTAC